AATACAAAAACCAAACTCCATCGATCTGTAAATATGCAATCTAACTTCCTATAAAAACTTAAGTTCTCAGAAAAAGCCTTTGGTAGATGAAACATGGATGGGCTATTAAGATAAATGGTAAGTGACTGTGAACTATGCAGCTCACTTATGTTAGGCCAATACATTCCATAATCCCTAGACAAAAAAAGGTTAGGAATTATTTTAAATTTCTTTTGTGTAAGGGCTAGTCGAAGGGTAAAAATAAATGCTGGTGTTATTAAATTACTCAAAACCAGTAGAATCCATTTTAATTTCTTCTATAATTAGTTTCTTCATAGAAATCAATCATCTCGACAGGTTACTTAAAAATCACATCAACCATTGTTTCCAAGCACAGCTCTGGCACCAGTTGCTTGCCGCAAGAAACTCAGGAAGGGCCAGAGATTGCTTATTATGATAGGGAGTGATCCTGAAATTCTATAAAGCTGCAAAATAGATGCAGGAACAGGAAGGAATCACATTGGTGACCCTTCCTACTTCTTCCTCATTCAAATGAAGGGTTTATCCACAGACATCCCAAAGTTCATACTCTAAATGAGAATGGTGCCCCCGAAACAAAGAGGAAAACCAGACCATGATTTGACTGACATGAAGATATGCCTTGATGTGCTTGATCAGGGTAGGTAAGAAGGATTTTTATTCATTTATTCACTTTCATCATTTGAATTCACTTGTATGCTGTGAACTCAACTTACCACCGTTTTTTTAGTGACTGGTTGAAGTTACAACAGACCTGAAAAAATGACTTACAACCTGTCCTCACACTTTTTAACCATTGCAACATCCCTAGGATCACATGATCAAACTTTGGGCACTTAGCATGTATTCTACAACAGTGGCAGCATTCCAGGGTTATGTGATTGCCATTGTGATCTTCCTAGCCAGCTTCCAACAAGAAGTCAACGAGGGAAGTCAGATTCACTTAACATCCATGCCAAAAAAGGTCATAAAATTGGGTGCAACTCACTTAACAACCCCTTGCTTAGCAACAGAAATTCGTGTCCCAGTCGTGGTTGTATATCAAGGACTACCTGTAGTCTTATTAATTGCAGGGGGAAATCTAAATGTAAGTGCAGCAGCTACCTTGTTTCTAAACGCTTAGAAGTACATAATTAGTGGAAGCCATTAAGGGGTTACTATCTCACCCATGCTTTAACTCACTTGATCAAAAATCAAATTCATATATGTCCATATGTGTAGATTTGCCCCCTCCCCATCCCCTGCAAGTCAGATTCAGATCCTAACATAGAGTGTTTGTGGAGAAAGACACCTATTTTTATGGGGAGTTGTCTTGTGTTATTTTGAATGGCTAAAATTCATGAGAATTTGTATGTAGGTTTGCTCTGATTTTAACATCTCATGGATCTTTTCCAATAAGGCAGATTTGATTATGCAGTTGGGGTTCTGCCAGTGCTGATGCACAGACTTTCTCATAATTTTGGGTAAGATATGAGGAAGGATAAGAAACAACTTACGGTAAAGGATAATTGACCATTGTTTTTCAAAAATCAGCATCATTTGCAAAGACAGGTAAGAACCTTCAGTCGGACACTATATAATGGGATAGTTTTCTAACCTAAATCAACAAAACATCAAACAATTAACAGTATTAAATGGTATTTAATAGTTTTTGGAACTAATTCATGGTTGCAGTTTTGCAAGGAGGAGGTAAGCAGGTACATCATCCTTCAAAGTTTCCAAATTAAGAATTACTGTTTCTTCTTACCTAGATACAGTTGTTAAATTCACATAATCTGGATCCCAAATTAATCTTTCTTCTGGGTTTACTGTACAGAGGCTAAACAAACCACCTCAAGCCTATTATTTATTAGTAAAGCAATGGTCAATGAGCAATGGCCCTGAGTCCTTCGGGAGAAGGGTGGTATAGAAATAAAATTATTATTATTATTATTATTATTATTATTATTATTATTATTATTATTATTATTACTACTACTATTCTGAAAACAAATATTATAGAAACATTACTGATTCCAAAAGAAAATATTCTTTTTTTTGTAATAAATTTTTATTAAATGGTTTTCTTGATTTTATATCACAGTTTTCATCTTTACAACACTTTGGTATCAGTATACATCTGATATACATACACACACACACACACACACATAGGTCTTTGGTTAAACCTCAGAAAACAAATATATACAATAATAGATATTGTACCTTTACAGGGAGGATACATGAGATGTGGGTGTGGCTTACTGATGATGGCTAACGAGCCAGAAATAGGTCTATATAAGTCTCTCACCTGGCAGCAAGAACTTACTGGCTGCCAGAAAGAAAAAAGCCCAGAATTGAGTGGATGTGATTCCACTGAGCTAGGGCTGCAGAAAAACCTTGGTTACGTAGGAAAAACCTGGCTAGAGGGAAAAAAAAAACACACACACACAGACACACACACACACATATGTATGTATGTATATGTATATGTATATATATGTATATATGTATATGTATACGTGTGTGTGTGTGTATGTATGTATATATATCAGATGTATTTTATATATAATATGCTAGTATTCATAAAATGTGTATTTATTACTCTCACTATTTTTTACATTTTACAATTTATAATGTATGTTTTCCATTTTATCACATCTTATCAAACTATAATATCTTACATATTCTTCATCTATCTTTATATTTGTACTTAATTCTGCTTACTAGTTCATTAATCATCTTTCCTTGCTAATTTCCTAATCTTTACATCTACTATCTAACCAGTCGTACCATACATTCCAACTCAAATAATAATCAGTTTCTCGTCTATCTTTTATTTCCATTGTCAACTTATCCATCTCGGCACACTCTAACACTTTCTTTATTACAGCTTCCTCAGAAGGTATATTTTCATTTTTCCAATTTTGCGCATAGACAATTCTGGCCGCTATTATTACATGCAGCATTAGATATTGGATTTGTTTGTTCTAATTCCCTGTTAATATGCCTAGTAAAAATAACTCCGGCTTTAACTCTATTTGTTATTTAATTATTTCCTCCAGCCACTTTCTTATCCTCCTCCAATATTTTTTGGCTGCTGGACACGTCCACCACATGCGATAATATGCTCTATATTTCTATTCTAAAGGCAGTGTATCTACTTCCCTTGCTCTAGTATTTTCAGACATGTTTGTTACTCTGGTTCTGACAAAGTTTCTTGCCATGTGTCTCTCCCATTTGCTTTCCAGCTGTTGTAAGTCAAAAGGGCAGTCAAGTAGGAACTTTTGCCATTTTTCAGAAGATCATTCATTCTAAGCTTGTCCCCCTCCCACTGGCAACTCAATGAATGATGGGTCTGCCTTATATAAAGACCCCTTCCTCCATAGGAGATCACGCTCCATCTGCTTTAGTTATTGTCCAGGGGATGACAATAGCATTAAGTTGATCCCAGTTATTTTGCTTTGCCTCCAGACATTGAACAACAAACATAAAGCTTAAAGCTCACTTAATGAGCAAATAAAAACACCCTTTGCTTTTTTCCCCCTTTTTCTGAACCTAAGGTTTTAAAAATGAACAGTCCTGATGCTGTGTTTTGTAAAGAGCTGTGTGTCCTTTTTCTGATGCTACATTTTGCAAAGGGTATATGATTAAGAGATGAGTCATCATCTATAATCTACTTTTGGGTAAAACCTCCATATAAGGACTGCATGGAGGAAGGGCTTCTGTTTTACTTCCAAATCTCAATAGAATCAGAAAGTATGTCATCTGTGCAATCTGCATAATTTCAGTAATGAAGTTATTAAGGAAATGATGCAAAATATGTCACTTGCAATAACCTATCCCATCTGCATAATTTACATAAATGATGTTAACAAAAACTAATATAAATTTCAACTACTTCAGATGCATCTGACCTGATTGTTACTCAGGAAAGTATTCTGATGGAAAGGTTGTCCATTGCATTCAGAGTCTGCTGAAAGGAGGCTTATTCAGCCAAAGGTTTATGGTACTTAATACATTACTAACATAAGGAACAGAAAGAATCAATAAAATAGAAGAGTGAGCCACTTTCTCACCTTTTGTAGACAAGCAACCTTGATTTGTATCATAGGAATAATGAAATTTGCCACACTTGCAAAGGTATTACAAGGATTTCTGTCAGCAGTAGAGAGCTTGCAGGCATCTAGCTGTACTAAAAGTTCTCCTTACCATTAGCCCGGCTGATCAGGTTATTGAGAGTTATAATCTAGACCCATTTATGAGGCCAGTGGTCTAATAGCATGTGCTTTGGATAACCAAATGCTGTGTATATATGCAAAGTCCAAAGCTCACAAAAACTCATACCTTTTAGTAAAAGTTGTTAGACAGAAAAGGTGCTGCCAGATTCCTTCTGAATAAATGCTAGCAATCTTTTCATTTGCACATCTATCCTAGATGGCACAAATCGTGCTTTAAGCATAGCATATTACTTAGACTGATATACCGCTTCACAGTGCTTTACAGCCCTCTCTAAGCAGTTTACAGAGTCAGCATATTGCCCCCAACAATCTCATTTTACCCACCTCATTTTACCCACCTCGGAAAAATGGAAGGCTGAGTCAACCTTGAGCCTGATGAGATTTGAACTGCCAAATTGCAGGCAGCCGGCAGGCAGCAGAAATAGCCTGCAATACTGCATTCTAACCACTGCGCCACCACGGCTCTTTAGAACTCATGTTCACTCGTGATTCATTAAGTTTGAAAAGGCAAAGGAAGAAATACACAGAGGAGAGGGCCACATAGCTCTATTATTGGCCTTTGTAGTTCAATATCATATCAAAAAGTCGAGAAGTCAGTAAATGTCTGATTGTCATATATTCCTAGCTGAATCCTTCAAGTGAGCAATGTTAGAAAGCTACATAGCTTTGCTCCCAAGGTTGAAGACAAAGACTGGCCAGTGGAAAGATTAAGACAGGTAAAGTTGGAACCAACTGATTATTCTTATTCTTATTCTGTTACAGTCAGGGTCACCGGAACAAGAAGGCTTCTTCAATCTGCTGACTCATGTGCAGGGAGGACGTATGGATGAGCAACGCTGTAACATTCAAATTGTACATGGCAAGAGTGGCTCAGATCCTGAAAAGAGTGAGTTCTCTAAGCTAAATAAGAAGGTTGAGTAAATCCAGGAGTTACTACTGCAGTGAATGATCTTCCCAAGACCAAGCTAAACTTTTGATCCTGCTAAAGAGAGATCCACATCTTCTGTTGGGTCTACTTTCAGTATTTACAAAACAGATGTCTTGGGACTTGGGAAAGTGTTCTTGGAGGCTAAATTCTCACAAAACTCACATAAAGTAGTATGAGAAAGCCTTCTTCCATTCCAGAATAACATTCTGATAGCCCATTTACCCTGAACCTGTTTCTAGAGTGCACTTGAGATCCCCTAACTACTGGCTCTGTTTGTCAAGCCATTTCCAATATTGCTTGGGCATTTTAGTCACTAAATAAAGGTTCATTGACTTTCAGTGATTGTATAGATATGTCCATGCGTGGCATTTTATTTGTTTGTTTGCTTACTTTTCTTTTCTTTATTTATTTCTTTATTATTTTTCACATTTTTAAATCGCCTATCTCCCTCAGATCCAGAAGTAGTTTATCATTGTCTTCTTCTGAGACACGATGATTATTTTCATGGTAGTTTTCATTCAACCTTGCTTTGTGGTTTTAAAATCAGCCAAAGTTAGCTAGGAGCTCTCACATCCATCAAATGCTAAGAAGCAAAGATCCTAAATGGACAAACAGCAATGTTTGACATACTGCAGAATAGTCACATCTAAAACAATTAAAAAGAATGCTACTCTTGCTGTTCTTCATTATGCTGTCCATTGATAGCTACTTCTATTTTTTGGGCCTGCAGAGGACAGCCCCAGCCCACCCCCCGAGATGGACAACTTCATGGAAATGCTGGCTCATACACAGAGTCGACGAATGGACGATCAAAGGGTCAGCTTCAACTACCTTCCTGGTTTTCAGAACAGTAACACCAGCAGCCTATCAGGCTCCGGGGCCACCAAAGTAAGTCTCTTCAGAAATAGATGTGAACAGGGGCAAGGTAGCCATTAAAACCTGCCCAGACAGTAAAGAAGCAGGGTTGGTAAATCAATCAAACGGGTTAGGCCACACACCCTGTTCTCAGAAACCTTTTCTTACTAAGTCTGGAAACAGGCAAAGGAAATATAAATACAGCGGCATCTCTTTTGCTTTTTTTTTTTTTTTTAATGAGTTCCCTAACTCTCTAAAATTCTCAGGATGGATCATATAATGGAAAATATATAAAATCTGAAACCTTGATAACAACAACAAGCACACACCTTTGCAGGACAAAAGAAACGGAGACGCTCTTTCCCCTTATTCCACCATCATTTAACAAACACGAGAGAAACTTAATATATTTTTCAAGACAATAATAGCATAAGAAACAGCAATTTCGTCTATGGAGCTATCATGTTTGCACATGTGCATTTTGCACACGTGTAAAAAGGAGCAGGGCTTTGATCATAACTACATATCCCATCTTGCAATTTTTGGAGACTCTGTGGATGGGTTTCCTGCCAGAATCATTTCAAAGTTGTTCTCTACCTTTGTGATATTACGCATTCGGAATCTGGTTGCATTTTAGATCAAATGCAGATGGTCTTTTTTGTACATGTTTGGCTTGACCTAAAAAGTCCTCCAGTGCCCAACCAATCTGAATCTTTCCTCCTGGCACCATCCTCATATCTATGCATTAAGACTCATGAGTGCTTCCTGCCTGTCCCATAGTATAGAAAACCTATTTTCGAAAGCCTTCCTTGGCAACCCTGGCTCCCTGGCTTCAAGGGCTGGCCAAATATAGTTACCACCTCATTAGCACCTATTTGGACCAAACTACTATTTCTTTTTCCCTCACATTATCAAGCAGCTTGTTTTCTCATGGGCACCAACAGTCTGATCTCAATAAGTCAAGCAACCAGAAGGGAATAGGACAGACAGTTGTGCCTTGAGCAAAGACAAAATTATGTTAGTAAATTTCTTAAGGGAAAAAAATCCCAGTGTATTTGTCATAAGGTTACAGTGTGCTTGCTGCAAATGTCTCTAGTGAGAACTGTGCATTATCTATCAATATGAAAGGATCAGGGGTGAAATCCAGCAGGTTCTGACTGGTTCTGAAGAACCGGTAATGGAAATTTTGAGTAGTTCGGAGAACTGGCAAATACCACCTCTGGCTGGCCCCAGAGTGGGGTGGGAATGGAGATTTTGCAGTATCCTTCCCCTGCCACGCCCACCAAGCCACACCACGCCCACCAAGCCACACCCACAGAACCGGTAGTAAAAAAACTCGGATTTCACCATTGGAAAGGATTGAAGGTAGTCATAGCCTCTCAAAATTTTGGTCCCATTTGGTTCTATCTGTGTATGCCTATACTTGTGTGTCTGCTTCTGCCTAGTCAGGCCACTCTATGGAGAGGAAAATTCTCCTGACTTTTGCTGCATTATCATCCTCTGCCTATTTTCTTCTTGCAGAAATGAGATCCTCTCCAGCCCTGCTTGGGAAAGCAACAGAGAGACACCAATGTGATGCCACCAAGCATGCACGGTGCCTCTCACTCAAGATCATCCCCTCACTGCTGTATCAGCCCTGCACATTTACTGTACATGCTGTGATTCTAATAAACATGTCCAACCATTCCCTCCTTGTTGATTTCCTTAGCAGACCTCCTAGTAGCAGGATGGGCATGCCACTACAAGACAACACTGCTGGTGGCTTGAAGAAGATAGCTGTTTCTTGCTACCCATATGTATAAGCAAAGCAAAAATGTGGATAACATTGCTACTAATTTTGTTTGCAGCTCAGGAAATAGTGAAGAATACGTAAGATAAAGAGTTCCAAATCCCGCTTTCTCCCTCGAGAGACAAAGCTCTCGCTGCTGGACTAGATCATTGGACCCAAATTCCATCAAAAAGAAAATGACACCTCTAACATTATTCATGGTTCAGTTTCATGTCATAGCCTAGAAAACAAATAAATTGATCCCAGTAAGCCCTCGTGAATTCCTGATTTAAATTCCCTGTACTAGATGGGGTAGTGACACCTGTTCTCATTTGATGGAAAAGAAGCAGAAAGGCTATTGAAAGAATAGCACATTAAGGACACTTACCCATATTATCCTTCTCTGGGTATTTATAGAAGAGCCCTGGTGGCACAGTAGTTAAAATGCAGGATTGCAGGGTAGCTCTGCCAGCTTGCCAGGAGTTTGATCCTGACCGGCTCAAGGTTGACTCAGCCTTCCATCCTTCTGAAGTCGGTAAAATGAGGACCCAGATCATTGGGGGGAAATACACTGACTCTGTAAACTGCTTAGAGAGGGCTGGAAAGCATTGTGAAGTAGTATAGAAGTCTAACTGGTATTGCTATTGCTATCTGCAAGGGCATTAGTGGGCACAAAAGACTAAATCAGTGGTGGGTTTCAAAAAAATTTACTACCGGTTCTGTCGGTGTGGCTTGGTGGGCGTGGCTTGGTGGGCATGGCAGGGGGAAATCTCCATTCCCTCCCCACTCCAGGGGAAGGTTACTGCAAAATCCCCATTTCCTCCTGATCAGCTGGGACTCGGGAGGCAGAGAATAGATGGGGGTGGGGCCAGTCAGAATTTTTACTACTGGTTCTCCGAACTACTCAAAATTTCCACTACTGGTTCTCCAGAATTGGTCAGAACCTGCTGAAACCCACCTCTGGACTAAATGCACCTTGCAAAGTACAGCCACTATTGTAGCCCCCATCTTATTGTGGAGGAACAGGAGGTGAGGAGCATTCTGAGGGCTGTGGACCCTAGAAAGGTCCACAGCCTTTCTAGGGTCCTGACGGTATCTCTGGCCGAGTGCTTAACGACTGTGCTGATCAGTTGGCTGGAATCTTTACCAGAATCTTCAATCGGTCTTTATCCCAATCCACTATTCCATCTTGTTTGAAGGCCTCCACCATTGTTCCAAAGATGTTCCCTATCCATAACCTCAACAATCACAGACCAGTGGCACTCATTCCTATCATCATGAAGTGTTCCGAGAAATTGGTCTGCCAGCACATCATTTCTAGTCTTCTGCATACATTTAGTAAACACCACTTTGCACACAGAAGAAATAGATCTACAGAGGATGCTATAGCCATCGCTCTTCACACTGCTCCAACTCATTTGGAATGGGGGAGAGGACTATGTGAGGATGCTTTTTGTAGATTTTAGCTCTGCATTTAACACAATACTTTCACATAGACTAGTGTCTAAACTTATGGATCTTGGACTTTCTTATTCAATCTGCCTTTGGATTATGGATTTCCTGTCTGGCTGCTCTGAGAGGGCCAGATTAGGTAATCATATCTTTTCAGCCCTTATTCTTAACACTGGTACACCACAGGGTTGCATGTTGAGTCCCTTTCTCTATATTCTTTATGTGCATGACTGCATTCCCATTCACACTAGTAATACTATTACTAAATTTGCAGATGATACAACAGTGGTGGGACTCATCTCCGGGGGGATGAGTCTGCCTATCGAGATGAGGTGGACTGGTTGCTTTCGTGGTGTGGAGACAATAACTTGGTCCTTAACACCAATAAGACCAATGAGCTTATTGTGGACTATAGAAGGAATAGATCAGACATCCAGCCCTTGCTTATCAATGAAGACCAAGTGGAGCAAGTGGCCAGTTTTAATTTTCTGGGTGTTATCATAAAAGAAGACCTGACCTGGGACACTCACATTGCAGCACTGGTCAAAAGGGCCCAGCAGAGATTATATTACCTGAGACTGCTCAGGAAACAACTGAATGAAAAACTGCTAGTGACCTTCTACCACTGCACCATGGAGAGTATTTTAACTTACTGCACCTGTGTATGGTTTGCCAATTGCACAGTGGCAGATAGGACAGCACTCCAGAGGGTTAAAATCATTGCCCAGAGAATCACTGGTTGCCCTCTCCCCTCTTTGGAAAAGCTTTATAGCTCCCGCTGCCTTAAGAAAGTTCAAAACATTCTTAAAGATCCATCTCATTCTGGGCACCCTTTTTTTGAACGATTACCATCTGACAGATGGTACAGGATAATAAAAACAAGGACAAATAGGCTGAAAAACAGCTTCTATCCCAGAGCAGTAACTATATTGAATTTTACTGTATAGTGCAATATTAATGCAATATCGGTTTTTCAATTCAGTTGTATAGAATGTGCAGGATGTGTGCTTGTGTTTTATTTTTATAGTTATAATGTACACTGAAGATGGCATTTAATTTTGTTGTATGAGGTGCAATGACAATAAAGTAAAGTAAACCAAACTTTAGGTTCTCCGCCTATTGTTTCTTTCTTTCCAGTTTTTCAAATGAAGACTAACCTTGTTCAGCAGTTATTGGAAAAAGACGATACACTACTAATCCCATACACCGCTATTCCCCAACCCAGTTCCCCTTTAGAGTTATTTTGCTCCTATTAGTTGACTAATTCTTAAAGCGGTGCTGCACTTCTGATTCAAAGATACTTAAGAAAACATCACAATCTGAACTTCAGTCTGGGAGACGCAAATAAAGTACTATACACACTTGTGCTGTGTAATATAATCTTACTGTATGCTGCTTTAGTCAAGGTGATTCACATGAGACAGTTGCCAAGTCAGTGATTAATTTTAAGGATTATACATTGCAAGTGACTGATCACAACCGAAGAAACAAAATCAAAATTTTCTCATTCTTATCCCCAAAATGTCTTAGATATGTACAGAAGAATACAATTCAGAATTACATATATACAAAATACAGAATTTATTGTGGAATACAAACCCCTTCATTTCATTGCCCAAAATATTTTGGAATTAAAGGGAGAATACCACTCCATTATTTTTTAGCCTCCTCCAGCTGTTTCTTCTCATTCCTCTCCCGCAGTCTTTTTCTAAAGGCTTCTAGATCTTTTCTCTGGAGAAGACAGAAATGCAATTTTCACCATAGATTTTTCTCCCTTCCAAAGTGTATAATAATGACATTTATTGCAGCAACAGATTTACCTGCTCTTCAGTTAGAGGTTGAAAGATCTTGCTCTGTAGAAAATGTAGCAAGAAAACAATTAGTGTCAGAAGTGATATGACAGAATGTAAAATGCCAGCAAGAAGAAATGGAAAGGAGATCAGCAAGTAAAATGCTGTGCTTAAAAGAAATAGTTGAATGGAAACTGGAATCAAAGTGTATCATTTAGGGGGGGAAGATGCACTACTATGTTCTACTGAATGTTCTCCTATTTGTCACTGTTGTGAATTTATTTTATTTTAGTATGATAGACCATTGAGTTCAGCCAGTGCTTGAGCAAATCCTTGTTCAGTTTAAATCAAAATAGAAAAAATGCAGAATAACAGAATAATAGAGTTGAAAGGGATCTTGGAGGTTTTCTAGTCCAACCCCCTGCTCAAGCAGGAAACCCTATACCCTCTCAGACAAATGGTGGTCTAATCTCTTCTTAAAAATCTTCAGCGTTGGAGCATCCACAACTTCTGGAGGCAAGTTGTTCCGCTGATTAATTGTTCTAATAATCAGGAAATTTTTCCTAGGTTCTAGGTTAGTTCTCTCCTTGATTAGTTTCCCTCCATTGCTTCTTGTCCTACCTTCAGATGCTTTGGAGCATCTGTTGACCCCCTCTTCTTTGTGGCAGGCCTTTAGATACTGGAACACTGCTATCATGTCACCCCTAGTCCTTCTTTTTATTAAACTAGGCATGTCAAATTCTTGCAACCTGCAATTCCTGTTCTTCATGTTTTAGCTTTCAGTCCCCTCATCATCTTTGTTGTTCTCAGCACTCTTTCAGGAGTGTCAACATCTTTTTTTTATATTGTGGCAACCAAAACTAGTCCAAGTATGGTCTTACCAAGGCATTATAAAGTGGTATTAACACTTCACATGATCTTGATTCTATCCCTCTATTAATGCAGCCTAGGAATGCGTTGGCTTTTTTGGCAGCTGCAGCATACTGCTGGCTCATATTTAAGATCCCTCTCACAGTTATTACTGTTGAGCCAAATACCTCATATTCTATACTTGAGCATTTGGTTTTTCTTGCTAAATATAAAGCCTTACTTTTCTCTACATTGAATTTCATTTTGTTAGATAGGGCCCAGTGTTCAAATCTGTCAAGATCTTCTGTATTTTGACCCCATCTTCCCCATCTTCCTGGGAGCTTGGTGTCATCTGCAAACTTGATGAGTTCCCCTTCTATTCCCTCATCTAAGTCATTGATGAAGATATTGAAGAGTACTGGGCCTAAGACAGCCTTGAGGTACCCCACTGCATACTTTCCTCCATGTAGATAAAGTTCCATTAAGGACTACACATTGAGTCCGGTTTGTCTGTTTGAGTTACAAATCCATCTGGTGGTGATGCAGTTTAACCCAAATTTTTCTATTTTATCAAGTAGTAGGTTGTGGTCAACTTTATTAAATGCCTTACTGAAATCCAAGTAAATGCTGGTCCGCTAATTTTGTCACTTTGTCGAAGAATACAATAAGATTTCTCTGGCATGATTTGTTTTTGACAAAACCATGCTGGCTTTTGGTTATGACTTTGGATGGTTTTGCGTCCACACTGCTTGCATAAATGCAACTTTACGAGTTCGCCTGCCACTTGCATGGCCCTGTTTCCATTGGGTCAGGGCTCAGTATCAGGC